TTCAGGTCGCTTCGGGACAATCCCAACTCCTTAAAGGTGTTGCTGTACATTACGTTGACCGAGCTGCCCGTATCGACCAAGGTTCGGTGAACAACCACATTATTGATCTCCACTCTTATCACCAGAGCGTCCCTGTGAGGGCTGAGGACTGGGGGATAATCCTCGTCTGTAAAGATCAGAGGTTCCTTCTTCTTTCGCTTAGGCAGCGGTGGCCTTTGTACCTCGGCCAGGTACACCATGTTCTTCCACTTCTTCCGGGAGGATACCGAATCTCCTCCAGTGTTTCCTCCCATGATGAACCGACACCCCAGGTGTCAGCGACCTTGCCTCTCCTCCTCATCTAGGTCATCACAATCTCGCCCTAGGTGCCGCCGTCCATCTTTTTGCCCCTCTCCTGCTGTGATCGCTGTCGTGGGGGCTGGCGGCCTCCTCCAGGTCCGGTTACTTGTGGACGGTCGCTCTGACCGAGGAGGTGGCCCTCTAGCGATCAGCTGATCCATCTCCTTCTTCAGCGTAACGCACTCCGACGTGTTATGGGTGCTGTTACGGTGGTACTCGCAGTATTTGGGTGCATCTTGCACACCATAGCTTTCCAGACCATGAGGAGGGGCCGGCAACGACTGTACCGCGTGAACGGGATGCATGTTCGCATGATACCCGGTGGGGTTCGGCCCCTTACCATAATCCTTCCTTTTCTTTCCTTCTGCCACCGGTGGCCCGCATTTCTTCTCCTTCCGAACTGGTGGCTCATCATCTTCCTCTTCCAGCGCCAGGTACTTCGCCCTGGCCAACATCTCTTGATAGGTCGAGAGAGGATTCCGTCGCAGCTCCTTACGCACATCCCCTTGGGGGAGTGCAGCTTGGAGCATGGCGATCAGAGCTTGGTCGTCCGCCCCTTGGACATCCCTAGCCTCCTTCTCCCACGTATTAATGAACTACCGGAGCTGTTCCCCCTTTCGGATCTTCACATTGAGCAAATGCGAGAAGGGGAGCTTTTGTCTCCGGCTGGATGCGAAGTGCTCCAGGAACTTGTGGGACAGGTCGCCCCACTTATCTATCGACCCCTTGGGTAACTTGTGAAACCACTCACAAGCCTGCCCTTCCAGTGTCGCCAGGAAGCACCGACACTTGATTTCTTCTGGATATGCGTACATGACCACGTTGGCCCCGAAGCGAGCGAGGTGGTCTTGGGGATCGGTCGTCCCGTTGTATGCCTTGATCTGGGGAGTCTTGAAATTATCTGGGAGAGGGCAGGACATTATCATTCTGGAGAAGGGCGTTACCTCACTGAAGACCGCCTGGCGATAGGGGTTCTGGGCATCCAGCCGCTTCTCCAGTTGTTCGTACATTTTCCACAGCTCGGCTGCGCCCTTATCCCCGACTGTCGTCCGTCGCTCCTCAGAACCGACCTTGGAGGTCGCTGTGGACTCCCCTCTCTTCTCCTTGAGCGTGTCTCTCCAGTCGCTTTTTCGGGCCGACCAAGTGTCCTGCAGCCTTTCGAACGCAGAGGTCTGAGGTTTCTTCGACTTTTGGTCGCCTTCTTCTTTTGGGACCGCCTCACTTTTTTCTTTTTTCCTTGGGAGCCTGCAGGTCCAGCCTTCTCGCCTGTGGGTCCCCCAGCCACATCTCCTACCACAACCTCGCGGTTGGGCGCAAGTGCGGCCAGCACCTCCTTGAATTGTTCGGCCGTGATCCCAACCCTCTGAATGAGGGCCTCAACCTCCCCGGTGGTGATGGGGGGGTGCCGGCCTCCGGTGGCGCTGTTCTCCCCCTGTTGGGGAACTCCGGTACCTACGTTGGCGTTGCTACGTGTTTGCACCATCGTCGTTGTGGAGGATTTCTTCTGAGTATGATTCTCGAACTCTCAATGAGAGCACCAATTTGATGGACAATAAATCCACCAAATGATCCGATTTACAGAGCGGATCGTAAGAACAAAATTAAGAACAAGAATTCGAGAATTGGATGTGTATTACCAACTTGATTTAGCTTGAGTTCTCCCCTTTCGGGTCCCCTCTATTTATACATGAGCTCTAAACAATTAAGGTAATGCATAACCGATGGAGTCTATCCCGCCAAGGGCGCGATCCCCTTTTCCCGGCTCTGTAACGGCCAATCAGCTCCGTCTCCTTCTCCGGATTGACTTTGCCAGGTGCGTTTGGCCTGAGGTTAACTAGGCCCAGCTTCTTGGGCCGGCCCAGCTTGAGTATTTCACAGGTGCTTGACCCAAAGCTATTTAAATGGTTCATTAGGGCCGTCCTCTGGATATCGGCCCATCAATTTACATTACAATTCATTGAATTTTCATAATAATCAATGAAATTACAAACTGATTGCATAAAAGGCATCCCATGTTGCATAAATCTTATGCGGAGCATGCTACATTTACCCCAAATTTGTATCTCATTTGTACACCAAAGGTATGCACCAACATTTTGATGCTTCACACTGACACAAAGTATTGGTGCCTTAACAAAAATCTACACTGATACAAAGTGTTAGTGCATTAACAAAAGTTAACATTACACCAACACAAAATATTGATGTATCCCTGCGATGTACAAAATAGTACTCCGTACAAAATAAATTAAAGTACAAATTTTTGAAATACAAATAACATTATCCATATTATGCACGTCATGCATAGGAGAGTTACTCCGTATTGCTAATTTTTAATAAAGAAAACTGGTTGGAATATAATTAAAATAAGGAAGAAAAGGGGCGACAACTTCTAATAGATGAATAAAGCCTTAATTGCACAGTGCTCTAGATGGTAAGGTCAAAACTCAAGGGATTCATCCCAATATTCATAATTTATACGCATTTTTAAATGCAACAATGTTTGACAATATTACCCTTACCCAAGGGGATTGTTCCTGATTTTATGCATCGCCATAATTACTTAACATATATAAATAAGCTTTTAAATGGATAATCTTTTTTTTTGAGAACCATCCGATTCATTTTGTAGATGGCTAAGATATATTCTTATTTCTTTCACTAAGAGTTCTTCTCACCTGAACCAACTCCTATATATATATATATATATATATATATATATATATATATATATATATATATATATATATATATATATATATATATATATATATATATATATATATATATATTGGTTCTGGTGAGAATGCAATCTTATGAAAAAATAAGAATGAATCTGGTGCTTTAGATTGTGAAATCTAAGGATCAGGATTGCATCAAAATTAGGTGCATCAAAATGGTTTAAAAATGCATCACGTTGAAATGCATCATAATCCTTTGAAAATGCACTATCTCAAAACCTGACCGCAGGATGCAATATGAGCCGCACGATGCATCAGATCCAAAAGCTAGATTTTATTCTTATTTCTTTCACCAAGGTGCATTCTCACCTGAACCGCCCCCCATATATATATATATATATATATATATATATATATATATATATATATATATATATATATATATATATATATATATATATATATATATATATATATATATATATATATATATATATATATATATATATATATATAAACACGCGCGCGATATTTATTTTTTTAGATGTAAAAATTAAATCTTCACTATATGGAGTATTAAATTTTAATTTCATTTTATTTATAAGAAATTATTAATATACAACTTTTTAATGATTTTACTTTTTATTTCCTCATTTCATTTTTTGAAATTTTAAATTTTTAAATTTTATTTTGTTTAGTATTTAATTTTTTTAACTTTTATTTTTATTTTTTTTTACATATATTATATAATATCTTTCAACAAAAATGATTTTAAAAAAATTAATTTTCCTAACAGCCAAGTCCAAATGTTACTCCCTTGGCATTTCAGATTTTGGCTTTTCGGATCAAAATGTCAAGTGAAAAAGCCATTAGCCAAACAATCGTTTTGACTATTTGCATAGTCAAAAAAGCCAAAGTCAGTCAAAGTCTGAAAGATGTCAAAAGTTATCTGAAAAGCTGTTTTCCAAACACGGCCATAATCCTTTAGTCCTTTATCACGGTGTAAATTCTTATTTTGAAATAAAAATATAGCTCTCTTTTACTTACTTTCTCTATTTGCTTGGTTTCTTGTCATAGTTGACTTTTTAATACTCCGTCGGGGAATGATGTTCCCGATTTGACTTTTCTTCATTTTTTTTAGAGTGTTGACTTTAGCATGAAAATGTCCAAAATACCCTTGCATCTCCACCACTGCCTAACCCTCCGTGCTAGAGTTTTAGCAGCCACCACCTCCCTAGCGTCCACCATCGCCCGCCCCACCGTCTCCCCATCCAGCCCCATCATCACTGCATCTGCCAGCCCCGACCGCCAACACCAGAATCGCCACAGCTGCATCACCTCCGTCAGCCCCCACCTCCATCGCACCATTTCTAGGAGAAGAGAGAAAACAGAGAGGAGAAAGATGAGAAAAAGAAGATTAAACAGAGAATCCACAAATCTAGCATAGATCTACCGTAGATCCATCGCTGCCTTAGCTCCCGCCACTGCCATTGGGTCCACCATCGCCGCTAGAACATAGATCTAGAACAGATTTAGGAGGGGGGAAAAAAAAGAAGCAGGTGTAGGAGGACATAGAGAAAGAAGGTTGAGGAGGAGAAAAAGAAAAAGAGAAGAAGAGGAGGAGAAAAAGAAGAGGAGAAGAAGAAGATTGGGGAGGGGGGAAGAACGAGAGGGAGAGGTAGAGTGATGAAGCAGTTGAGGCGGGTGGCGGAGAAAAAGGATAATAGAAGAAGAAAAAAAGAGATTTAATGGGAGAGATAGTTTAGGAAAAATTGTGACAAAAAGTAGAATGAGAACATCATTTCCTGACAGAAAAAACGTACAATGGAAAAATCATTTCGGGGCGGAGAGAGTATTTTATTATCATTTGTTTTTTCACCAAAGTCAATATAAAAGTAAAAACAAAAATAATAAAATATACTTCATTGCACAACTAATAACATGATTACCAATGTTGTAAAGTGAGTACTTTATTTATACATATAAGTAAGGAGCAAACTCTAGGTAAATAAGAAACAAGTTTTTATAATTAATGTATCTGTTATATTTAACATTCCCCATCAGATATATCATCGTTCATTATACACTATCAACATTTGCTACTGGATAATGGCAGCCAAGTTCTTCAAGATCAATATTAGTAACTGATAATGCGTGATGAATTATGCGGTCTCATTAAAAATTTTACTCCCTCCGTCCTAAAATTAATTTCTAAGTTTGACTTTTGTTGTCAAATTTTTTAAACTTTGACCGTATATTGCAGAAAAAATACATTGAATTTTCATATAAATTTATTAGCAATAGATTCATTTTGAAACATAGTTTCGAAATATATAATTTTTATAAAATATATTTATATAAAAATTGAGATATTGATAGTCAAAGTGTCACATTAGAAACCGTGAAAAATCAAATGAGAAGTTAATTTTAGGACGAAGGGAGTATCAAGAAAACTTAGTGAGACAAAATTTAATTAAGGGAAAAAGAGTATAATGTGTATAATGTTCCCCCTCAAACTAATCTATATCCTTTAATCATCTACAGGGTCCAATCTTCTTTATGTGTTGCTCAAAACTATATCTAGATAACAACAACAAGCAATTAGAATAAAAATACTATGTAAAATACACTTAAATCAATTTTTAAATTTTTTTCCAGTTTCTTTTCATTTATTCCATTTTTTTTCAATTCCTTCCAATATCCAACTTTTTTTCCGCCCTAAAAAACAAGCTTTGAGTATGATTCCAAAATTATTGTTACCTAAATATTGGACGAATAATTTGGGGAAAAAGTAAAATATGTTCATGTGACACAAATGCAGAAAGTGATATTGTATTACTAATATTGAGATAAAAATAGTGAGAAAAGAAAAAATAATATAAATGGCCGAAATTTGATGCACCAATAATGAGATAGGGTCTTGATTTCATCTATAGCACTCAATGAGAAATTTACCTAAATAGAACTAAAACATAATGACTTTTCCAATATAAGACCATATCTTTTTATTTCCTAATGTAGGACCTTTGGCCATTATAAAGTAGTCATTACTCAAGTAAATGTCCATCATTACTAGACATTATTCTTCCCACTAGGTCATTATTAAGTCCTATTTAGGGAATAAAAAAGTTTAAGTCCTACATTGAGAAAGTGATTATGTTTTAGTCCCATTTAGTGCAAATTTCACTTCTTTAAAGTGTTAAAAAAGCTACTCAAGTATTATATTTTGTCAAAAATGTCAATAATATCATTGGACTCTCTAAAATATTCAAAAATCACACTAAAGGTAATTTTAGAATAAGCTTTGGTTTTAGCAAACCCAATAGAGTGGCATTTTGGACATTATTTGTATCCATGCATGGCCAAAAATAAACCCAATTTATTCGTTTTGGCCAAAATCATGATGCCTTGGTTTTTGTTTCTGAAGATGGGTGCACAACACTCTTGCGGAATGGCATCATACCATTCCAACATCAAAGCACACCAAACGGTAAGCAATAAAACATATTGGACGGTGGGAGAAAAGCATATAATCAGAAATATATTAACAACAAATATAAGCTCCAGGAATAATGTTAAGTGTCGGCATTGTTACGCTGCTCATCATCCAAGTGTTTGGTCTTTCTTCAGAGGGAGGGAGAAGGCAAATGAAAAATACAACACACCCCACGGATGCAGAAACACGATATGATAGAAAAACACAGTCCGGTGTGCCGCAGGGATTCTCATGGAAAAAAGACAATAAGCTTTTGCTGGAACTGCCCGGCCCAGCTCTAATTCCTCAAACTGTGTAAGCTTGCTGGATTGTCTCTATGTCAAGGCCTTTCAGTTTCACCACCGATTCCACATGTCCCTTAAGTGTGTGTAGCTCTCGCAACCTTGCAATCTCGGCCCTTCTCTTAGCCTCCTCGGCCAACTGATTAAGCTCGTTGAAATTGGTTGCTTCGCTAAACAGCTTCGTGTCTGGAACTTGGAGCCCGTGAAGAGTTCTTTGTGCGTGTGCCCACTGGAGTTCTCGTTGTTCTTTGCCAAAATCTTTCTTCCGGGTGAAAGCAATCTGATGATTAACAATAAATTGAGTATATGTATGTGGGGGTGTGTATTTGTGGGTAATGAATTACTAAGAAAAACATTTTTTTCCAATATGGTTAAGTACCCACCCTTTGTTCAAGAACTAAATCCCAGGCCTTCCCACTAAGAGCATAACGAGTGAAGAATTTTATGAAATCAAGTGGGAAATAGAACACAAGGTTATAGAACCAGATAACACCAGCCCATCCCCACCCTATTCCTTCAATGGCAGCGAAACTCCAGTTTGCATAAACAGCAATAAGAGTCGCAACCTGTTTCAAAACACAAATTATGGGGGTATTAATATGATGATGCTTTCTTTCATAACTAAAAGGGAAGTCAGAAACCTTTGGGCGCTTAAGTGAAATAACAGCTTACCAGTTGAGCAATCACAAAAGCACCCACAAGCAACAGGCCGGGGCGTTCAATAAATGACCAGGTACGGGATCTTGTGACAAAAATCAGGGCCTGGCTGATAGTGCTAACTTGAAGGTAGATTGCAGATGCAAGCTTCCTAAAGTCATCATGAGCCGTCTTTTCAAGTGTAGCTACACCAAATACTCTCTGCAAACTCACCAAAAATAATCAGTCCTTTTTCCTCTAAATCCACAAAGCATAAGAGCGGGAGATATTTCTCTTTGTATAACAAGCATAAAAAACTGTTAAAAGCTTTAGCTTGTATATTCCTTATATTTGAATAAACAAAAGACTTCTCTGTATAAAAGACTCATACGATTCAACAATTTGAATCGGGAGTTTGATTACCTTGAGTAAATAGTGTATGGGTAGAAACTAAGAATTTGTTTAGAAGTAAGAGAAATTTGGTGAGTTGCACATTCCTTTCTTTAAAAAAATAAATAAGGAAAGTTTGGAATTGATCTTGAGACTGACTGAAAAGAAAAGTGAAATTTATTTTGGGACAAACTGAAAAGGATAGTATGAAGTTTATTTAGGGAAGGATGGAGCATTATAAGATCTAATGCATATAGATATATTGCATAAAACCATATAAAAATACTTAATTAAAAAAAAAGCAAAACTTTCAATGATTTGAGGTTAAAATGAAAAGGCTTAAAAGTTTATTAAAAAAAGATAGAGTTGACAAGCTACTTTCTGCAGCGACAAGGACTAGGCAATGTGTTCTGGACAGGCAATGTTGAAGGTAGGGTTCCCTAATCCCGACATTTAATTGTGATGATAAACAGCATGTTTTCTTTTTTTAAATTTAAATAAATTTAGGAGTAAGGTCGGGTCAGGTCTTTAAAATGTTGTGCGTGCCATGACTAATTGACATGATTGGACGCACAATCGACAACCGGACATCGGACAGATCTAGTCGCAGAGCCAAGAAATCCTTCTCGCGACCGGATGATTAATTAGCATAGTTTGTAAGGCGTCGCCTAGGCGATAAGGCGCTGTCACTGGACACTGGGACGCCTTGTTTGCTCGCCTCGCCTAGAAAACCTTAAGGCGACCAGGCGCTCGCCTAGGCGCCGCCTTTCCTCACCTTAACTCGCCTTGATTCGCCTTACCTCGCCTTGATGCCTTGGGCCCATTTAAAATTTTGAAAAAACCATTTTTTTAGTGCAGCCCATTTTCTTTTAGTGTAGCCTAATAGACTTAAACTTATCTTCTCTCTTGGTCTTCTTTGTCTCAATCAAGCTTTCTTAAAATGTATAAGACTTTTATATATATATATATATATATATATATATATTTGTCGCCTAGTCGTCGCCTAGGTGTGCGCCTGGTCGCCTAGGCGATATGAAGGTACATTGGCGCCTTGCCTCGCCTTGGCGCCTTACAAACTATGTTAATTAGGACTAATTAGTGAGCAGTCGATGAGTTAACAACAATGCAAAATTTTCCAATACGCATAATAGGATCTAAGGGGGTATAATTTTATTGATGAGCCCAAAATGGATTGCTCAGAGAGCATATAGGAAATTTTTGTACCAAACTCAGTAGTTTTTTTTAAAGTCAGTAGTTATTCATAACTAAAGAAAACATATGTAACACTAAAAGTAGATTAGGCTCTGTAAAGGAGAGATTGGTTTGGATCGTATACCTAAACTTAAGCTATTTAACCGTAATTTATAAGATCTTTTTTAGTAAAGTAAAATAGATAATGGCTTAAAAATAAAACAATAAGCTTATTTCAAATGTTACCAGCCATAGCATTTCTTGAACATTTTTAGCTCTACTAACCCTGTTACTTGGCGAAAATTTCTCAAATTCCTATCTCAATAACAAAGATTTCAATTCTATTACTGTTTTCATAATGATAGCTTCATTATCATGTAATTTTCTCTGACACTTCACAAATATTAATAAATTGAATTTTCAGCTTTCAGATAGCTTTGCAGATTTATGTGCCAATAATAGCCTACTTGCAAAGGTAAGAAATATCATGTATAA